ATAGATGGATAGATGGATAGATGGATAGATGGATGGATTGATGGATTGATGGATAGATGGATTGATGGATAGATAGATAGATAGATAGATTGATAGATTGATAGATAGATAGATAGATAGATAGATAGATAGATAGATAGATAGATAGACAGATAGATAGACTGATAGACAGACAGATAGATAGACAGATAGATAGACTGATAGATAGATAGATAGATAGACAGACAGATAGATAGATAGATAGATAGATAGATAGATAGATAGATAGATAGATAGATAGACTGATAGATAGATAGATAGATAGATAGATAGATAGATAGATAGATAGATAGATAGATTGATAGATAGATAGATAGATTGATAGATAGATATCACTGAATCATCAATCAACTGACTTTAGCTGGGAAAATTATTCTTTGTTATTGTCCTCTTGCATTACTGACCAACTATTTTCCTGTTTGACTCTGTAAAGCTGCTTTGACACAATCAGTATTGTATAAAGCGCTATATAAATAAAGGTGAAAGGTAATTAGCATGTTGCTAGCATGTTTCTGGCATGATTAGCATGTCGTTAGCATGTTGCTAGCGGGTTTTTAACATGATTAGAATGTTGCTAGGATTATTAGCATGTAGTTAACGTGTTGATAGCGTGTTTTTAACATGATTAGAATGTTATTAGCATTATTAGCATGTAGTTAACATGTTGTTAGCATGTTTTAACATGATTAGAATGTTGCTAGCATGATTAGCATGTAGTTAACATGTTGATAGTGTTTTTAAACATTAGAATGTGGTTAGCATGATTAGCATGTCGTTAACCTGTTGTTAGCATGTTTTAACATGATTAGAATGTTGCTAGCATGATTAGCATGTAGTTAACATGTTGATAGCGTGCTTTAATATGATTAGAATGTTGCTAGCATGATTAGCATGTCGTTAACATGTTGTTAACATGTTTTAACATGATTAGAATGTTGCTAGCATGATTAGCATGTAGTTAACATGTTGATAGCGTGCTTTAATATGATTAGAATGTTTCCTAGCATGATTAGCATGTAGTTAACATGTTGATAGTGTTTTTAACATTAGAATGTGGTTAGCATGATTAGCATGTCGTTAACCTGTTGTTAGCATGTTTTAACATGATTAGAATGTTGCTAGCATGATTAGCATGTAGTTAACATGTTGATAGTGTTTTTAACATTAGAATGTGGTTAGCATGATTAGCATGTAGTTAACATGTTGATAGCGTGTCTCTAGCATGATTAGCATATTGTTAGCATGATTAGCATGTTGCTAGCATGTTTCTGGCATGATTATGATGTTGGTAACATGTGGAGTATTGCTAGTAAATATAAAGAGAATTTTTTCACGATTTCCAAACGTCATGTTCACCGAAAACATATGAACCAAAATCCTGTATTTACCGTCTGTGACATCCAGATATGCAAACAATTCTAACTTTTTTATTGCAACGTTTTGATAACAATCAAATCTTGATAAACATCAGAATATTAAAACATACATTAATAATACATATTTAAACACAGAACATTCGTAACGTTAACAGAACGTTCGTTCAACGTTATCTCGTCAACGTTGTCAAAGCGTTAGCATAAAACATTATTTATACATCGTTCATGGAGCTTTCTTCTGAAAAGTTTCGGTTCATTATTTTTTTAATGTTACTGCTTGCTTCATTGAAACGCATCTATGTAACGTTCACGAAACACTAGGTTTTGAACATTCAGTTTTCATCATACAGACGCGAGTTATAAAGCTATCGACTCAAGGACACATCTAAGTCTTATTGCTGTTAACCTATAAAGATAGTGACCTATTTATATTTTACCAGGAGTAAAAGTACGCCCATACATTTGCGGATAAGGAATTTTGTTATTATATATAATATGTGAATTATAATATACCTATATTATAAATATAACAATTATCTGTTAATATTAACAATAATCACTTCAGAATAATTGTGCATAAATACAATATAGTTTACACACATACATTTGAATACAATAAAAATATACTAAGATTTAATCATTTATCGATCACTGATACAAGCCCCGCCCCCGCGCGCGAATGATTGACAGGCAGAACGTTCTTCTGATTGGAGGAGCGGCTGTCAGTCACACAGCTCCTCAGCGGCGACCGTTTACTCGCGATATAAAATTAGTTATTAAAGCGCTTTTGTTTTGTCGCCTCAGTATAACCGGACCAGCACGTGTAAAATCGCTTTAGAGTAACGTCTGCAGCTAAAGACAATAAAAAGAAGCGTCGGTTAGTGGAATTAACGCGGGAAACGCATCGTCAGCTTTACGCGTGAGGAGAAACTTCCCCCGCCGGAACCGAGGGCAGGAAAGCTGGAAAAAGCGGAAATAAACAGTCGCGCCGAAAGAGGAACTGCAGCTATGGGCGGAATGCGAGGCTAGTGAGTAACTTTACTACAGCGAGCAGCGCGAGGATGTGGATCGCTCCTGAAGAAGTCGCGCTGAAAAACGCGCTGAAGCTCTGGGTGACCGACAGATCCAACGAGTATTTCCTCCTGCAGCACCGGCGAGGACACGGAGACACCGGAGGGAAGATCACAGGTGAGTCCCGACATCTCTTTCGCACTCTGATCGATCACCGAGCTCCGGGTCTGGCGGAGCAACAGCTGCATCCGGGTCTCCGGGAGTTTCCTTCACGAGGAGATCACAACAAACGTTCGCAAGCGCGCCTGTGGCTTTAGAAGAGACGCGGAGACGAGACCAGGCTGTGATCATGACTTCTTTCCCCACTCGCGGCCAAACTTCTTGCGTAACTTCAGAGAAATCTCGTTTATTGTCACGCGCTCTGGAGTACAGAAGAGCTCAAGGATCAGCTGTGCTCTCTCTGTGTTTAATGTGATTTGTGTTTTTATGAGCTGAAGCACGGTCTGCTGCTGTAACACCTGATCTGCTGATACCAGTGAGGCTGAGCTCGGTTTATAAACTGGATTGTGTAGATCAGGACAACTAACTAGTGTTATGATTCGTAAACTAATCTGAAACCAGCTGCACAGCCTTTTTTGCATTCAGCGGTTTTTTCTTCTTTTTTTTAACTGTAGGGTATGTGTGTGTGTGTGTGTGTGTGTGTGTGTGTGTGTGTGTGTGTGTGTGTGTGAGGCTGTGTGTCTGTGTGTGTGTGAGTGTCTGTGAGTGTGTGTGTCTGTGTGTCTGTGAGTGTGTGTGTGTGTGAGTGTCTGTGAGTGTGTGTGTCTGATTGTGAGTGTGTCTGTGAGTGTGTGTGTGTCTGTGTGTGTCTGTGTGTGTCTGTGAGTGTGTGTGTGTCTGTCTGTGAGTGTGTGTGTCTGTGAGTGTGTCTGTGAGTGTGTGTGTGTCTGTGTGTGTCTGTGTGTGTCTGTGAGTGTGTGTGTGTCTGTCTGTGAGTGTGTGTGTCTGTGAGTGTGTCTGTGAGTGTGTGTGTGTCTGTGTGTGTCTGTGTGTGTCTGTGAGTGTGTGTGTGTCTGTCTGTGAGTGTGTGTGTCTGTGAGTGTGTCTGTGAGTGTGTGTGTGTCTGTGTGTGTCTGTGTGTGTCTGTGAGTGTGTGTGTGTCTGTCTGTGAGTGTGTGTGTCTGTGAGTGTGTCTGTGAGTGTGTGTGTGTCTGTGTGTGTCTGTGTGTGTCTGTGAGTGTGTGTGTGTCTGTCTGTGAGTGTGTGTGTCTGTGAGTGTGTCTGTGAGTGTGTGTGTGTCTGTGTGTGTCTGTGTGTGTCTGTGAGTGTGTGTGTGTCTGTCTGTGAGTGTGTGTGTCTGTGAGTGTGTCTGTGAGTGTGTGTGTGTCTGTGTGTGTCTGTGTGTGTCTGTGAGTGTGTGTGTGTCTGTCTGTGAGTGTGTGTGTCTGTGAGTGTGTCTGTGAGTGTGTGTGTGTCTGTGTGTGTCTGTGTGTGTCTGTGAGTGTGTGTGTGTCTGTCTGTGAGTGTGTGTGTCTGTGAGTGTGTCTGTGAGTGTGTGTGTGTCTGTGTGTGTCTGTGTGTGTCTGTGAGTGTGTGTGTGTCTGTCTGTGAGTGTGTGTGTCTGTGAGTGTGTCTGTGAGTGTGTGTGTGTCTGTGTGTGTCTGTGTGTGTCTGTGAGTGTGTGTGTGTCTGTCTGTGAGTGTGTGTGTCTGTGAGTGTGTCTGTGAGTGTGTGTGTGTCTGTGTGTGTCTGTGTGTGTCTGTGAGTGTGTGTGTGTCTGTCTGTGAGTGTGTGTGTCTGTGAGTGTGTCTGTGAGTGTGTGTGTGTGTGTGTCTGTCTGTGAGTGTGTGTGTGTGTCTGTCTGTGAGTGTGTGTGTCTGTGTGTGTGTGTCTGTGTCTGTGTGTGAGTGTGTCTGTGAGTGTGTGTCTGAGTGTTTGTGTGTGTCTGCGTGTGAGTGTGTCTGCGTGTGTCTTTGAGTGTTTGTGTGAGTGTGTGTCTGCGTGAGTGAGTGTGTGAGAGTGAGTGAGTGTGTGTGTGTGTGTCTGTGTGTGTGTGTGTG